CCTGGAGTCTCCTTTACCTCTTATGGAATATTTTAAAGCAGGATAAGAGTCTACAAGTACAGCTGCTGTTAAAGAGAAAGCCACATCAATAAGTCTCCCATTTTTACTCTCACAGTGGCCCACCACCACCATCACCATTTCATATGGTTGATACTTGGGGCTAAACTTAACGAGTTAATATGAATTTGTTTAAAAAATTTTCAAGTGAAACTTAAAAAACTTAAAAAAAAATTCCATTTGAGAAATACAAGCTAAGTTTGAATTGAATGAGCTTAGCTTGAATATCTAAATTTTTATTTTGGTTATTAATAAAAAAAATTAAAATAAGATAAAAATTGAAAATCTTAATTTTTTTAAAAAAATTGAAATTAAGTAAAAATTCATGTACTCTGGCTTACATGAATAAACTCAAAAACTTGAGGTATTATGACAGAACTTAATTATATGTATTTTTTTATATGTTTAGATATTTTAAGCCTAACCTAAATTGAGCTTGCCTAAATAAATCTAGCTCATTTGAATTATAGGCCTTACAATTTTATAGCATTTCATGATACCAATATTTGAACTCGAGATACAATAGTCATCAAATTAGTAAGGAAGAATTACAATAAAGTTCTACATAAAGAAATTAATCATTTTTTCAGTTCATATACACGTTAAATTTTTATACTTCATGTTAAATTTCAGTATTTATAGGTAGATAGGACTTGTAAGTAATTAATCTCTTTACATGAGATTTATGGATAATTGTCCCAAATCACTATTGTCTCACCATGGAGGCCTTCAACCGCCGCTTCATACATAATGTTGTTTTGTCAGGGTTTAAGTTCTTCAGGTGAAACTCCGAACAAACCCGTACCAAAAACAGGAGAGAGAGTTTGACCCTATCTTTCAATAACAAACATTCCTTTCTTTGAAAAGTGAACTAACGAAGCTTCAAGCTTGTCATTATGGAATTGTAAGCCAAGATAGAAAGCATCACAGATGCTTGTTGCTAAAGAACTCATCTTGTATTTTAACTTTTTTTTTATTGGACCCACCATTTCTAAAGTTATACATATTAAGAACTCAATCTAGTATTAATGATAATGTTAAACTACTGGTAAGTGCACCTTTTTCACACCAAACTATTTCTTTGGCTGTCTTCCATTCCTCTAACAGTTGGAGTGTGAACAAGCCAATGATCAGGATATGTAGTTCTATTGATGATAAGTGTCAAGTGTAGCTATATATTAAAAGATTAAGATATATTTTTACCCTTGAACTATAATAATAGAAACACCTAATATTATAAATTATTTGTCATAGATAGTAATGTCACTATTAAAATAATTAAATTGTATTAATGTTGCTCCTGAAGTTCAATGGACAAATATTGATGATTAACTTTGCTAATTTAAATAAGTTTGACTCAAATCATAACAATTGCCTTTAAAATAATTAAATCGTACCAATATTGCCTTTGAAATAATTAAATAATAACAATAATATTGCCCTTGACATTAAATCTGAGCCAGCAAAGTTAACAGTCAATATTTGCTCATTTAACGATGAGGGCAGCATTGCTACAGTTTAATTATTTCAAAGATAATATTGGTACAACAAAAAATTTATGACATGTTGCTTGGAAAATAATTCGAGAATAAAAATAAAACTTAACCATGTATTAAATAAGAAAGAAAGTAGCTTGAATCATGAAAAAATGTGTAATTTAATAGAACAGATTTATGCATAGAACAGATTTAGCTGACCAGATGAGAATCCATGGTGCTGAGGTGACAGTGTTTTTGAACACCAATTATTGAATTTTGATTCCACTGATCAGCCTCTTGACCGAAAGCCAAGAAATTTGAAGAGCGATTTAATCCAAATTGACTTTTACGTTTTGTTGTTGGCCATTATTGCTCTCTTTTCCTTTTCTTCCTCTTTTTTTTTTTTTCCTTGTGGTTTTAATTCCTCCTCTTTTGTCAGAAATTGATTTAGCACTAAACCAAACATTAACTTTGGAATACTTGCTTTATGGGACTTTTGTTCAAAGTGAGCCATCTATAAAGCTTGCTTTCACATTACAAACAAAAGTGTCAAACCACTATATATCCAAGTTTTTGTCATTCTTCATCAATAAGTGCTGCAAGGTAATTAGAAGATAAACTTATTATTCATTTTTATCATCTAAATGCGCAATTATCATTAGTATATTCCTTTATTCCTTCCTATCCCATATCACTGTTATTAGATGGGCCAACATCTTGCTTGGATTGTTATGTTTAAGTAAAAAGAATTGCACTTTGACTATCAGTTATAACTTTTGGCTAGTGGTAAGCACTTAATCTAACAACCATGCTTCCCCCAACACCCCCCCACCAAAAAAAAAAAAAAAAACCTCCTTTTCTTTTCCCGTTGCCATGCCTCTCACTAGCTTATAAGGGCAATCAAATTTTTTTTGTTATTCCTCATCAATTTGTGATGCAAGGTTAGAAAATAAACTTATTATTGATTGTTATTATCTAATTGGGCAATTATCATGGGAGAATATTGATCCTGAATGATTCAAATACTTGCTAAAATAGTAACTTCACTTGTTATTTATTAATGTTTATTTGTTAAAAATTCTTGCAAGATATTAAATTTTTTCAGGAGTCTTTCATTGACATTATTCTTCCTGTTGGGTAATCCATTCTTAGTGGATCGAGCCTAATATGAGTTTATGGCATCTTTATCAAAATATAGAGAAGATTTAAGTTTGAAAATGTAATATATTCTAGGTCAAGTGTGCAATTTTCCCTTAAATGATTTAAAAGTTAAGAGGAGGGAACAATTATTATTATGCACACACAACCAAAAAACCACAACCAGTGTGGGTGGCTTTAAGAGCAAGATAACTTCCAAATATTCAGCGTGATTCTAAATTCATTCTCTCCGATTTTTCTTTCTCTCTATTTCCAAGAGCATTTGTTGTGTTTATCTGAACGAATTCCTTCCATGGCTTCTTGTTCTTGCATACGTTAATACCGGTGCAACAACTACACTACGAGTATACATTCCTCCTCTATAATCTTAGACTTCCAATTATCATTTGTGTACATTCCTTTTGCATGTACCATGACACTTTGGTTGATAAGTAAGTAGAAAGAAATGCACTTAATCCAACATCCTGCCTTAGCAAGTTCTTATCAAAACATGACACTTGGTTTTTTTTTTTTAAGTGATCAATTAAGAAATAAAACTTAACACACCCACATGCAAATTAAGGTTCAAATCCTGTACCTCAGGTCTATAGAGAGATGGCATTGCTATTGGGAACTATGACACTTTGTTGATATAATTAATAAATTAAGTGGAGAGAATTGTGTCCTAACAATTAGCTATAGCTTTTGGCTAAGTTATAAGCATACTCAACCTATTATCTTTCTCAGAGCAGTTTTTGCATCAAATTCCTCTTGTTGTTTTGTTGCCTTGTGGCTCAACAGTACAAGGGCAATGAGAGCAGGGAATCTTACAATGTACATTTACTGTTGGATGGAAAAATTCAATTTATCATTGCTCTTTCCCCGCGCTCCCCCCCCCCCGGGTTTTTTTTTTTTTTTTTGGTGTAGACTGTCATATAGATAGCATGCTTTTGGGATAACATATTGATGGATAACAACTAGACAAGAGGCTAATATATGAAGGACCCTACTCATTGATTGTGTTTGTGCCTAGTTATGTCATGAAAAGCACTCAACTCTAGTGATGGCCCTTAATGAACTGGGAGGTTGGATAATCTTCAGACTTGTGACCTTTCCTTGTATTAAAACACTAACGTTAAGGTCTTCTCTTTCCACAATTTATTAAAACATAGTTCCCTGCTAAATATCAAAGTTTTGAAAAAAGACGCGTGGATATTAGTATAAAATTTATTAATTTGATAGTAAGCAAGCTTAGGTTGAATCAGTCGTAGTCAATATATTTCAAAGTTAAATTATATATACATATAAAAATGTTGCATAAAATAAAACAAAATGCTTTGCCAATTCTCGGTCTGTTGACTTTTTCTTTTTTCTTTTGTTGAGTTTTAACTAACTCCTTTTTAAAAAAAAAAAATATTTGAGCCAATTCCGAAAGCATGGCATTGAACTGGAAATGAATTTACATTTGAGAAATGAGGGTGAGAATATTGATACCGGCAAGTCTTTTGCAATGACTTGCTTTTATTTTTGCAGGAAGATAAAATATTTTTAATTATCAAAACAGAATTTCTTTAACTTCATCTTAATGTGTTGTAGTGTCAATCTCAGGAGCTTCATCTTAATCTCCAAGTATGACTGATTGGTTCTTTATTTCTCTTCTTCTTCTTCTGGCATACTTCTTTACGGATATGGGGTCACTGGGTCCAAAAATCTAATCCTAGATTCTTTGATTCCCTCATCCCTACAAGAAACAAAAAGAATCTGCCAATCGCACCAGGCTCCCACCTTCTCAGAAAAGAAAATCAAAATCAAAGAGATGTGAAGAAAGGAAAGAAAAATCGAAAGCAATCGAGCAAGAAAGAAATATTCGTTTTAGTTTTCACTTTCATTCACCATCAAGGAATATCCACACTAACACAACGGCATTCCCATCAAGTTTTTATTTTCATTCTTTTTCCCTCTTTTCTTCTCGAAAACTTCTCACAGCATCAAGAAAGTTGCACGCATTATTCATCATGGTGGGCCAGCCTATATCAGTAGGGAATCAAGCTCTCACAGAGAGAGAGAGAGAGAGAGAGAGAGGGAGGGAGCAAGTGGGAAAACAGCAAGATAAAAACAAACCATACACTTTTCCTCTTTTCTCTCCTTTTAAGACCCCAAAATTGAACTATTTTTGCTTTCTCTCTCTCTCTCTCTGTTTTGCTTCACCAGAGATTCTCCACACAAGCCTTTCAGGTCAAAGAAGAAAGAGTATGGGGAAAAAAAAAAAAAGGAAAAGTGGATATATGAAATGGGCTATGAGAGGGAGGGGGTGGGGGGGAATAGCCACAGCTCATGGCATATATTCCCTCAGCCCATCGTAACCCCACTTATGTTTCCTGATATGAAAGTGAGATCATAGGACAGCACAACAACTCCAACTTATAAAAGAGAACTACAGCTTCCACATATATTGATGCACATACCTAAAAGGATCACAACTCTTGTTTATGTAAACTCTTCCAAAACTAGCAAGATGGATCTGCAAAATATGCAAAACCAAAGTATGCATTTGGTTCTGTCCTCTGATGCCAAGCCAAGGCTGAAATGGACTCCTGAGCTTCACCAACGATTCCTTGATGCTGTTAATCAGCTTGGAGGGGCTGAAAGTGAGTGTACAAAAAACCTGGAGATTGTTTTTTCTTTTTATTATGTTCATATTATTTATATGGTTTTTCACACTAGAATTTTATTACATGAGCAGAGGCAACCCCAAAGAGTCTTATGAGGGTGATGGGGATTCCAGGTCTAACCTTGTACCACCTGAAGAGCCATTTACAGGCATTCCCTCTTTTGTAATGATTTTCTCTTCCTTTTTCTGCTTTTAATGAATCTGGAAATCACGATTTCTAAGCTCGTTTGTGTTTCTGGTTACAGAAATACAGACTTGGAAAAAGCCCACAATCAGAGGCCTTATACGATGATAAACATGAAGGTTACTTTCCAGAACTTGTGATTTTTAACTTTAAAAAATGAAAACATAGTGATCGTGACCTACCCTTTTTAGTGCAGATTATGTAGAAGCTCAAAGCAGTGATGGCCATTGCAGCAGGGAAACCACTGTGGGTACCCAGAGTCGGATGACTGAGTAATAGTTATAAATTGATTTAATTTTTGTATTCTTTATGATTTTAATGGAGATGAAGCTTTGTCCCCCAAAAAAAATAATGGAGATGAAGCTTCATAGAGGCTTTATCTGATCAAATGCTATTTTTATCAGAAGCCAGCAGATTGCTCAAGCTCTCCAACTACAAATGGAAGTTCAGAGGAAGCTTTATGAACAAATTGAGGTAGTAAAGATGACAATAAAATTTACCCACATGATTTCTGTTTGATCAACCAGCACAAGTTCATCAAGTTTGATTGAATTCGTAATTTCAGGTACAGAGGCATTTGCAGCTTCGGATTGAAGCTGAAGGGAAATACTTACAGTCAGTGCTAGTAAAAGCCCAGGAAGCACTTGGAGGGTACAATCCTTCTGCTGCAGGAATAGAACATGCAAAAGCTGAGCTCTCTCAATTAGTCTCAATAATCAACAATGGCTGCCCGAGTTCCCCGATCTCAGAACTGACAGAAACTGGAGTTATAAGCTTGAAAGACGGAGGAGAGAGGAAGCAAAGCAGAGGGACCATGTGTTCATTGGAGAGTTCCTTAACATCCTCTGAAAGCTCAGAGACAAAGGAAGAGGAGCCTCAAAAATCTAACCGAACTTCGGTTGAATTGCAATTGATGACTGTTCATCCAGAAGATGATAAAGAATTGAATGCTGACTCAAAGAATCAAGCTTGTGGAAGAAAGAGGAGTGGAACCACTGATTCTGATGGTTACTGCGTGGACCAACCAATCACTAAAAGATGCGGCAACCAGTCCCGGAAACTTGAGTCATCTGAATTGCTTGATCTGAACAGCCAGTATCACAGTGACACTGACTCAGACTCGAAAACCATAGACTTGAATTGCAGTTCAACGAACAGTTTTAGCTACTTGGAACCTTGAAACCGGATGGGTTCTAATGATTTATTCAAATATGCAGCAACACTATTATCAGAAGTTTAACCCGTTGCTTATAGACTATGTATATTATTATATTATATATCATATTTCAATGTATATTCTCTTCAAGAAAAAGTCATCATACACATGTGGTGTGGCACCCTCTCTCGTTCTTCCTGTCTTCCTCCATCTGAACGTTTACTTTCCCATATAAATGCTTTGAATTTAGAACATGCTTATGTCTAATTATAATTTAACAATCCTGTTAAAAAGAAAATTACCTTCTACTGCTCATCTCAGGACAATTTACAATCCATTCACCTACCTGCCATACCAACTTTTTCATTATGTGCATATATGATCCATTCAAAGAGGCCCACAATGAGTTGGTGATGTGACATCAAACCCACAATAGGATCCCGTTATGAAGTAATCTCGCTTCTAATTGCTTTTTTTTTTTCTTTTACTTTTTACCTATATTGGGATTTAACGGGATAATAATAACATAAAATTGAAACAGTAAAAATGAGAATGTTAAAATAAATATACAAGCATGTACATAAAAATAAAATTTAAAATGAACACATTCAAGAAAAAATAAATGTAACAATTATTGAGAAAAAATGATAGAAAATAGTTTAAAATTATCTAAACATTTACCAAAAAAACCACAAAAAGCATTGAAAAGGAGTGTAAAATAAATAATTTTGAGTCATGTTAAAAGGAGAATAGGGGAAAGCTAAAAAAAAATTTTCATAAAAGTTATTGATTGAAATTTTTAATTAACAATATTTTTAAAAATTTTGACAAATAATAGTAGAATAATATTGTCATATAATTCTGACCCTGCTAAATATGATAGGACTTGTTATTTGTTGTTTCACCCATACGTTTAATATATACCAACAGATAGTCGGGCAGGGCGTGCCTATTATATCATAGTAATAATAACCACCACCTACATTCTATATCCTTCCAAAAGAGAATTAAAGGAATGAGAAAACATGATATCCGCAACATCAGTGGTTGTCACCAACAAAGGAAGAATGGAATTATTAGTTTAAACCATGCGCATTTTAATAATATTTTGTCCTATCTTACTTTAATCGATTGCTGTCACTAACCAGGAAAAAGCTCATAATTTTGCATAGCCCACATTGGTAAATAAAATCATGCCTGTCATCCTCCCTACTCGCTAACCAATGCGTCATCCTCTGCAGAATCAAACCAGACAAGCATGGAGATTTCAAAAGATCACCAGGCATACAAGCTTCTGACAGTTCTTTTGTTCTCTTTCGCAAACCTGGCTTTGCCTTTTCCATTTGAGTTTCAACAAGGTATGGCATAACTCATGGTTATCCCTTAAAATTGTAACCTTCTTATGTTCGAGTCTCAAAATTCATTATTATCCCCTACCTGGTCCATGAAGCAATCAGCATGCATGTATGCTTAATCTCCATTCACATATAAAGCTTGAAAAATAGCTTTCAAATTGCAGGTAGCAGACGATGGCACACGACTTCAGATGTTAGAGAGGTTGCAGGAAAGTACTATGATTACATTGTTGTTGGGGGAGGCACTGCTGGCTGTCCATTAGCCGCAACTTTGTCTGAGAAATTCTCTGTGCTTCTGGTAGAGAGAGGTAGCTCACCGTATGAGAAACCCCTAGTGGTTGAAAAGCGATACTATGGTTTCCCATTACTGAACACAGACGAATATACGTCAGTAGCACAAAGCTTCACATCCGAGGATGGGATTAGCAATGTACGAGGAAGAGTACTTGGAGGATCATCAGCCATAAATGGGGGCATCTACAGCAGAGCTAGTGAAGAATACGTTAATAAATCTGGTTGGGACAAGAAACAAGTGAGAGATGCCTACGAGTGGGTGGAATCTAAGGTTGTCTTTCCACCTGTGTTTCTCTCTCCTTGGCAATCAGTAGCAGAATTCAGCCTTCTTGAAGCAGGGATTTTACCATATAATGGGTTTAGTTTGGAACACATCAGAGGAACCAAGATTTCTGGGAGTGTATTTGATGGATTTGGAAAGAGACACACCTCAGCTGACCTTCTACAGGCTGCCAACCCAAAGACACTCACAGTTCTTCTAAATGCAACAGTCAAAGGCATAATCTTTTATCACAATGGTAAGAAAGAAAAACTCATTTTAATAGCTGGTGGAGACAAGAAGTTGACACCAGTACATGATAAATACAAGTCAACCTGCTACATCCTATTTAATGTTGACCTCACAAAATTATTTAAAAAAAAATCTTAAATTTTGTTAACGGCACTGTACAATTATTCAGTAAGAGATGTCACTGACATATTTTTATGGGCATTTTAGTCATGACATGATTAACAGTAGAACTATTCAATCAGTTCAGCATCAAGAATCTTCAACAGCTAACCACTGGGATGCTGCAGGTAACAACAATGATACAAGAGCTCGTGGCATAAGGTTCATCCAGAGCAATGGCAGCCTAGAAGAAACCCATGAAGCCTACATAAACAAACACAAGAACTCAAGTTCATGGGGCGACATAATATTAGCAGCAGGGGCATTGGGTAGTCCTCAACTGCTGCTGCTAAGTGGGATTGGACCATATCAGCAACTAAGAAAGTTCAACATCTCACCGGTGCTTGAGTTACCAGGGGTAGGACAGGGAATGCAGGACAACCCCTGCATAGCAATATTAGTAGATACTAAGCCAGGGAAATGGCTGCCAGACCCGCCACTTGTAGCAGGCATAGCAGATGACATGAAAATCATAGTTGAAGCAGCAATACAGCCCCTAACTGCCAATTCAACAAGGATCAATGTTGCTGCCAAACTAGCATCCCCCTACTCAAAAGGGAAGCTTGAACTGAAGAACAAAGACCCAAGACTAAACCCTGTAGTGAAATTCAACTATCTAGCAAGCGAAAAGGATATGGAAGCGTGTGTGAAGATGACCAAGTTACTGTATAGAATTGCAAGGACTAAGTCTATTGCAGTTTTCTTCGGAACGGGAAGCCTGAAGAAAGTGACATCTACTGAATATGATCTGAGAAATTTCTGCAGAAAAAATGTAAGAACGTTCTATCATTATCATGGGGGTTGCAGGGTTGGATCAGTCGTTGACAGGCACTACAGGGTTTATGGCGTGAAGGCACTGAGAATCATAGACGGCTCAACATTCTCGGAGTCTCCGGGCACAAACCCAATGGCAACCCTGCTCATGCTAGGTAGGTATCAAGGAAAAAAGATCCTCCAAGAAAGAGAAAAAGTTTCTGATCTGAAATCCAAATAAAAACGTTCCTTTCTTGATTCTGTGTAAAGCAGATTATGGATCACAATAATTTATCACTCAGGATCCCAATCGAATAGACTGGACCTTGTGAATTTATCAACAATGTTTGAAATGAACGGTTTATAATTCTGTACGTAACCAACTAACAACGTTAATATTAATATTATCTTTAGAAAGAGATCAATCGAACAAGGAAACCAAGAAAATTGATTATTTTATTTCATATTTGTGCTCTTGTGATCTGTACAACTTATCACAAAATCTCCTCCCTAACTATCAGCAGCCTCATCATCATCTCTCGGACTTGATGAAGAATCACGAGAATCACCTGAAGGGGCCTGATTTGAGTTCTCACTACTTCCTCCTTCACCATTGAAAGAGAAACTGACCCAAGCTTCTCTCCCAATCCTTCTCCTCCTCTCTTCCCCGTCTTCTTCGTCTCTCTTCTTCCCAACTTCATCAATAGGCATGTCATACCTGCAAACTGGGCAAGACCCATGTATCCCCAACCATTTGTCTACACAATTGGGATGAAATTTATGCTTACAAGGCATCTCTTTGACCATCCCACCAGCTTCCCACTCCTCCAAGCAAATCACACACTCTCCCTCTTCACCTTCCTCAATTTTAACACTGGGCAAAGCATCTATGGCTTCTTTAGAAGCTGGAGGCTGCCCACCCTTGCCACTACCCAAATCACGAAACAGGCCCTCGAGGCTAGAAGCAACATCGATCACCACCACACCCTGCGTGAAGGGGTTGATCAAGATGATTCTTTCGCGTTGGGGACTTTCTCCACTCTCATTTTCCTGACCTGAGTCTTCGCCTTCACTTCTGAAAGCAGCATTAGATAAGCCAAAGATGAATGGGAGAAACAGCGTAAGGTCTCTGTTTCTCACCATCCTTTCGAACACCGCAAAAATCTCGGACACTTCGGGTTCGGAAGCCATGTTTGAATACAAAATACACTTTTCCTCGAGAATTGAAAAGGGAAGAGAGAAGTGCAAGAAGGAAATGCAGAGAGGAGACGATTATGGGCGAATGAAGAATAAATGAATGAACGGAAAGGTTGAGATTGGGAATAATATATGGAGAAGACGGTGGGCGCCCCCTGATTGGAGAAGGATGTGGAAGGATCTGGAATTTCGACTGGGCAGCGCGTGAACATTTTCGTGTGTCCAGAGAGAGAATCCAAAAATGGTGAATTTGAAAGTCTATCTTCAATTTAACAGTCCTTTTGCTGGTCAAAAAGGACCGCATCCGGTGCTCATGAGCCCGTTCTCGCCACTTATATGCGTTGAGTTGGGCCCTTATTTTTATATTAAATTTATTAAAATAAAAATTATAAAAAAATATAATATTAAATATGAACGGCCTAAAATATATCTATATAATCAATTAATTAAGATTATAAAATTTTTAATATTAAATTAAATTTTTTAAATTATATTTATAGTGTTCAAAAAACGTCTAAATAGTAAATTTATAAAAATTATTAAAAATGATATTAAACTAGGTCATCAAATTAAATCTGTATTGATTATATTAGTGATAAATAAATTTATTAAATACTTTTATATTATTTAGATATTTTTTTATTTTAATAAATATAAAATAAAAGTAAAAAGCTTAAATTTAAACTACCGAGATTTTGTCAAGGGTGATAAATACTATAAAATTTACCCCCCAATAACATAAAAAATAATCCATATTTAATATTATAATTTTTATTTTTATAAATATAATATTAAAATATTTTAAAAATAATTTTAAATCAAGGACAAGGATCATTTCAAGAGAAATGAATGGCTCAGATCTCTCTAAAAGGGTGATGAGCGCATAGTGCTCATCAAAAGTGATAAGCACAAAATGTGTTTTCATGATCATATATGATTATCGCCATTTAGGCATGAGATTTAATTTGTCATGAAAAACTTCAACTATTTTTTATTTATATTTAAAAAACTAAATCAATTAATTTAGTATGTATTTTGTTGAATAATCTAATATTATGTTTGAATACATATGAATTTGGATCTGAATTTAAGTCCAATTCATTGTTTGGATAATTAAAAAAGGGATTTGGAATTGATCCAAATTCAAATTCTTCCTCAATCTCTTTGTAATTTAAAATTCTTTCTAAACACTTATTATTTCAAATCTTAACTCAATTCTCTTTTATAATTTGACTAAATCTATAAAGGATTGATTGGCCCACCAACGATAGTTGGACTGGATCGCCAAAGTTTATGAAAACATGTAGCCACCATTGACTGGGACGAGAAGGCCGACTTCTATTGAGATTGGACCGATAACAACAATTAGGACAAGACTTGGAGGCGATGACGTTAGTCTGGTCCTGGTGATAGTCTTCGTCCTATCCTGGTCGCTAGTGCTACAGTCTCGGTTGGCTTTGACTATTTAATCCTAGTGAAAGTTGGCCATTCAGACCGTCAACTTTGACTAATTGACCAAGTTTCTTTCAAATTCAAATGTAAAATTTAGAATTTAAAATTTTACTTTAGATCCGAACAAAGGATTTTAATATTATAATAATTTAAAATTTTTTATATCATCCAAATAAAGAATTTAAAATTTATGAATTTGAAATGTGAGATTTAATATATGATATTTTAAATCTAAATTCTTTACTTAAATACACCCATCTAAATGCAACTTAGTGGATTTAAAATGAGAATTTGGATTTAAGATCTCATATTTAAAATCTCACATTTGAAATTTATAGATTCTAAATTCTTTGTTTGGATGATATAAAAAATTTCAACTTATAATATTAAAATCTTATATTTGAATCTGAAGTAAATTTTCAAATTTAAAATTCTATATTTGAATCACCACATTAAAGCCAAAACATATTCAAATACTTTATTTGAAACACTTAGGCCTAAGACTTATTTCAAAAATCACCATAATTCTCAACTAACTCAACACCAAGTAGAACATAGCATAGTGGAAGATAACATATGCATTGATTCAAGTCCATGCATGGTTTCAAAATAAAAAAATAAAGTCAAAAATTGAGCCATGCGCCACAGTGTGCACCACATATGCCACAGCATATGGCACAAAACCACAAGCAACTCCTCTATATGTCATGTGCTGCAGTACACATGTAACATTCTCCATTTTAAACTAGATTATCTAAGTCCAATCAGGTTAACTAAGGGTGTATTAGTGAGGTGTGTGGCTAAAAAAGCCTAACGAGCGTGTTTAGTTTTAATTTCAGCTTTAAATGTGGGTTTAAAGGAGAATAAGGTCACCCAAGAATGGAAAAGAAAGAAATTTTGAAGAAGGAGATTTTGTGCCACATGTCACAACTTATGAAAGAGCCACCGCAATGCATGTGTGACAATATACCTCGAGAGTCTTTACACCATGTGTCGCGATGCATTGTGCATTCGCCACGGCATATATGGTCACATTTTTGCTATAATAAGTCGTAAAAATGATGCATCAGAGGAGAGAAAAATGGAGTACATGAGGGAGAGGCAAAAGAGTAAAGCTAGGGCTCGAGAAATCTGAGTATTGGGAGTAGTTTAGAGCTTCTAAACATCAAAGATAAGATTCCTATACATAAATCTTTCTCTCATCTTCCATTTTCAATAAATGTAATATATTTGAATATTTATTTGATAAATATTTATATACATACATATATATATATATATTTATTTATTTATATGAACTATAAAATTTGAAATATAATTATATATATATATATTCAAAATATATATATATATATATATGTTCATATTTGTGTGTGTGTGTGTACAAACATACATATATATGTATATATGTATATGTATATATATATGATATATAAAATTAAATATATATATATTTTTAGCACTTCTTTGCCTTATTGGTATTTCAAGATATTTTCTAGTTTCTATTCTTATTACTTCATTTATTTCAAATATTATTTCTATTCTTGTTTGTAAATTTTCAAAATGTTGATTTAATATCCAAGTTAAAAATAAAATTAAAGGAAACATAATTAAATTATTTAAACAACTATTTGCCAATTGCAATATTATCAGCCAACTACTATCAAAATATTTAAACTATTTAAAGCAACAGATAAAAGAAAAAGTAAGCAGGTAGGGAAAGCAGGAAAGCAAGTAACTGAGTGAAACAACAATAAACATTAGGGATTAAGAAGTTCATGTTATCTTCCTCTTAACATAATTTTAACCTTCTGTTCTGATACCATAACAATAATAGCTGGCTATGTATTGCTATAGGGTTTGACCGATACTGATCTGAGTCACAGCAGAACATGAAAAGTTCTTAGTCCTCTTTCATACTAAGATTAACAAGCTGACAGTCTCTTAAACCTAGCTATAGATTTTCTACTGGAGGTGTAGCTATAGCAACACATAACCAGTAAATACCAGGTAATAATCTCCTCTTAACCCCTAAAAAAAAATTACTCAGCCATACATGTTAGTCTTCAATATTTGCAAAGGTTGAAATAATTGAACAGAATACTTTTATTGATAGTAAGAAGGTAAGGTTACAAGGATGGAAGCAGAGAACTCAAGTGCTCAAGAAAACTCTAAGGTTCTCGTGTGTGTTGCCTCAGAGATTACATGACTTTATATAAAGTTGACATTCCAACCCTGGTTATATGACTATGGTTAATTTTTAATGAAAAGTAACCCTAATTACTACAAGAAAATAAAATTACTTTTGACAAAATGGAAAAGTAAGGAGACAATATAGCTGTAGACTACTTTTTAGCTTTAGGCTTTTTGACTTTGTCATCCACCACTTTTTGTCTTGTCAACTAGTCTTCTTCCATCTCTTACTTTACTTGTCGGCAGGCTAATCCAAAATATTCATGTTGATAGAAGGGTCTTCATAGTCCTTGTCAGCTTGTCTTCTTTCTTTATAATACTTGCATTTTTAGATAGTATATTCTGATAATACTTGACATATTTTTCTTTTTGTTCCTTCATCATTGTCCATTAAATTATTTCTTATACCAATTATTGAAGCTACTTGAATTTTGGCTATTTCTTCCTATTGAGAAAATACTTGTTGGGCCAGTGAAGTATGTCCACTATTCTTCTTCTACAATAGTTGTTCTGTTAAGTTCTTGAAAAATAATATGTACTTCCTGTACTCTGATAGTAGAGATCTTATATTTGATGTCTTCATCATTTATAATGTCTTCTTTTTCTTCTTGGTCATACTCAAATGGTCTTCTTGTTGTTCTGAATTTAATCAAATTAATTAGAGGATAGAATTTACTAGGAGTTATTTCAGCTATTGTTAAGTAACACCTAATAAAGACTCGATATTGGGTTATTATTCTAAAATAATGTTTGGCGGCTTCTTTGATAGACTTTGGAAGTTTTGATATTTCAGACATATCATTAGAAGGATATATTGAGTAGATAAGGCCATAACTGAAAAGAATTTTTACAAGTTTAGGATTAGTGTTTGGATAAACAATGACTTTGTTGAAGGAATAATGGGAAACATATTTAATATTATTGGTGTTAGGAAGAAGGAAATAGTTTGTCTTATTGATGAAGAGTTTAAAATAATTATATTGATCTAAGGTCTTAAGGGATGAATTTACTGGGCTTGGACTTCTTCTCCTAAAAGAGGTAAAAGTAAATGCACTATTTTGAGGTGTTCTAGTCATTATTTAGGCTTTACACTTTTGGGCTTCTTTTACTATTTTTGTGAAAGGAATTATTGGGCTAAATTTATTTGGACTATGAGGCTGGAATAATGAATCAGGAGTTTGAGTAAATGACTCAATTACTTATTTTACTTGTCTTTCAAGGGATTGGGATAATGGTTCCTTAGATTTCTCTAAAGCCTTCACTTTACTTGTCAACAAATTCACCTCATCTTTGAGATAAGCTACTGTTCCAGATAATGATTGTATACTATTGTTTAATTGTCTAGTAAAAAGGCTCATATTCATCTCCAGAATATTTACTTTTACTATTACTTGGTCTAATGGGATTATTATTAATCCTGTTGGTGAACCACCACTATTATTATTTGTCATCATACTTGTTTCTCTTCTATTTGGCTCCATCTGGATAGATAATCAGCAACAAGATTATTCTTTCCTTTGATATATTCAATTTCATAATCATAATAAGATATATCAGATTGCCATTTAATTAACATTTTATGACATAATTGAGTTATTTTTATTCCT